TGTCTGCAGGGCGCGCACGAGTCCTGTGAAGCATTGTCACAATTTCCTTATCAATTTCCCGATATGTGTTTTCTGAGACAAGCCATAATGAAAAAATGGCCAGGGTCAAATTGATGTCAGAGGCAGCTTCCAAGGGGAGTATTTCACTCGGCCGTTCCTTCCACATGGTGGTCAGGCACCAAATAAGAATTTTTATTGTTCTCGAGGCAAAATGATTTGAAAGCATTTGACTGACGACTCTGTCTTCCCCCCACATCTCCCACCCCACCTCCCTCCATGCTCCCTGGTCTGTCAACCGCATCTCAGCCATGGACTGGCCACGTGGGCTCAGCAAGGAAGCCCCAGGGCTAGCTCCTCTGTTCCTAGACTCTGGTGCTGGCAACGCCCCATAGAGGATTTTCACAGCTTTATCGTGACCTCTGACAAAGGGCGACACCTTCAACCATCCCAGGGTGGGTGCCTGGCTTGTTTCCCCATGGGAGACGGCTGCTGTGATTAACCTGGCTTCCTGTCTGGTGTCTCCTGCTCTGGAGGGGAGAGAGGGCAGCAGAAGTGGTGACTTTTAAACCCTGGGGCTGTCCAGGGCTGCTAAACCCTTTGGCCACTACGCTGGGCAAGGCAGAGAAAAAGAAGCCTGCCTGTTTCCCTCTGGTGTGTGGCAGCAGAATTGAGGTGGATCGGCAACTGTTGGAGGAAGTCATGAGAAAAGAGACGACCCAGGAACAGATTACCTGGAGGCAGAATGACAGCTCCTAGAGGCATCAGTGGCATTGCACTGGCTGCAGATGGTCCTCCTCTGCAGCTTCCCAGCCGTAGAGCCTCAAGGGCATCATCTGGTCTAGCACCATGGGTTCCCCATCTATGAAATGGGAACAAGAATTCTTTATGAGAGTAAAAGGAATACTGTGGGCCAAGTGCCTACTGGGAGCAGGTGCCGAGGAAGCTTGCAGCCATGCAACATCATCACTCCAGAGGTTCACTGCCCATTCTCCTGCACCACCATCATAGCCTTTATCTCAGCTCTCTTGGGTTCATGGCAGGGTAGCTCAGTCCAGGCCCACTCCCACGGGGCCCTGAGGATTGATACAAAACAAACAGAGCATCAGAGAGGCTGTCCTGTTTTCAGAACCAAAGACTGGGACAGAAGGTCGGGACCAGTCTGGGAAATGTCAGGGCCAGTCACCAGCCTGCAAAGCCTGGGCTCTGCGTGTCTGCCCGTGAGAGGTGTGGGACAGTCCTCCTTGGGGGGACTTCCCACTCCCCGCCCCCACAGTTCCACAGGCTTTGAAAGTGTGCAGAAAGGAACACTTCCTGTGTTTCTGACCCATTCTGGATGTGCTTGGGAGGGCAGGACTCAAACCCACGTAGCCAGAGTGAGTTTAAAAAGAAAACCAAAGGATGAAGTTTAAGCAGGTGTCTCCTGAGAGCATAACACGTTGCGTGTGTAGGGGTGGAGAGGGCTGGTCCGTCTCCCTGGGTCAGGGTCCAAGGGACTCTGAAGACCCCCATGGCTTCCTCCTGCCCTGCTCAACCCAACAAGGGCACAAGGCCTCTGCAGGGAGGATGCAGGCCCAGGGAGAAACCCCTGGCTTGTCCTGTGGACTTCCATCCCCTCAGTAGGTTCCTAGACTGCAGCTGCCCCGTGGTGCCTAAAGTGAGCTCCTCCAGGCTCCCCCTGATTTTTGTCCCATTCACTGGTCAGGGGAACTTGATGCTGCCTGCCTAGAACCGCTCTCTGCTTAGGAAACACTTGGGATGACTGTGATGTTCCTATGTCTTCTCCCCCCAGCTCCATCATCTAAGCAGGGCTGGGGAACCTTAATTCTGCCAGGGGCCATGTGCATATTTATAGCATCATTCACAGACCATACAAAATGATCAGCTTCAAGATTCGTCTGCCGTAGATTTAGTGAATTTCCAGTCCCACCTGTGGCTGCCTTGGAAGGGCCAGGCCAAGTGGTTTTACCGACTTTATACAACCTACAGGCAGGTTGTTCCCCACCCCTGCGAAAGATCACGCAAAACAAGGCAGTGTGAATCCCTAGACTTGGGTAGTCCCTGCTTGTTCAACAGCTTAATTGCAATATCATTTACATAGAATTTCCTTATGTGTAAGGTGTACAGCTTCATCCTGTGATACGTGTAAACATTGTGAAATGGTCATCCCATTCCAGCCAATTAACATATCTGTCACTCTAACAGTTACCATTTGTGCGTGTGTAATGTCTGTATTGAAGGTTTTTTTTTAATTATTTATGTAGTTGTTTGAAAGGCAGAATTAGAAAGAGAGAAGGAGAGACAGAGATAGAGAAATCTTCCATCTTCTAGTTCAATCCTCACGTGGTTGCAAATGACTGGGCTGGGTAGAACTCTATCTGAGTCTCCCACGGGGGTATAGGGGTTTAAGCACTTGGGCCATGTTCTGCTACCTTTCCAGGCTCATTAGCAGGGAGCTGGATCAGAAGCAGAGCAGCCAAGAACTGAACCAGTGCCCACATGGGATTGCCAGGGTGGCAGGTGGCAGCTTAGCCCACTGCACCATGACCCTGTCCCATTGAGAAAATTGAAGATCTGTCCCTTTAGAAAATTTCAAGTATACAGTACAGTTTTTGAACTTATCGCCCCCTTGATGTCCATTCGAAGTGAACCTTGCTTTCTATTCTAGGGGTGCTTTCTGGCTCAAATACCTCCTGCCCCAACTGAAAACATGCACAGCACATGTGAAGGCAGACAGCAGAACCTTTTTTAAAAATATTTATTTATTTGAAAGGCAGTTACAGAGAGGCAGAGACTGAGAGATCAAGGTCTTCCATCCCTTGGTTCAGTCCCCAGATGGCCACAACAGCCAGAGCTGGGCCCATCTGAAGCCAGGAGCCAGGAGCTTCTTCCAAGTCTCCCACATGGGTGCAGGGGCCCAAGGACCTGGGCCATCTTCTGCTGTTTTCCCGGGCCACAGCAGAGAGCTGAATCAGAAGAGGAGCAGCCAGGTCTCAAACCAGCACCCTAGTGGGATGCCGGCATTGCAGGTGGCAGCCTCACCCACTACGCCACAATGCCAGGCCCTAGCAGAGCCTTTTTGATGCATGGCCAGTGGTTTGTGTCTTGGACATGGTGAGCCTCAATGCTGAGGTCTGTTCTGTGAAGTCTCTCGGGGTCTCCAGCAGGATCCAATCCCATGGGCCCTCAACAGTCCTCTACTCCATATCACGACCGGCTTTGACTCCTCTCTCCCTAGCCTCACCGCCTCCCTCATTCACAGTGCATCCTGGGGTCACCTCTCAAATTAACTGTGAGTCCACAAACCCTTGCCTAAGTGTCTACTTTTGGGGGCACCCCAGACAAGACAAGTGGAATGCAGATGTCATCTTGCACATCCTGCCCATCTGCTGATTGTGATCTCCCTGAGTGCTCACTGGAGGAAGGCACCACTGAACTCCCAGGGGAGGTCTGCTTCCATCAGCTAGTGATGCCTGCTGAGTGTGTGGAGGTCTACTTCCATCAGCTAGTGATGCCTGCTGAGTGTGGGGAGGTCTACTTCCATCAGCTAGTGATGTCTGCTGAAGGTGGGGAGGCTACTTCCATCAGCTAGTGATGCCTGCTGAAGATGAGGAGGTCTGCTTCCATCAGCTAGTGATGCTTGCTGAAGATGAGAGGTCTGCTTCCATCAGCTAGTGATGCCTGCTGAAGGTGGGGCAATCTGCTTCCATCAGCTAGTGATGCCTGCTGATGGTGGGGCTGGGGATAAGGTACCATGTGTGTGCTGTTTCCTGCAGTGCCTGGTCTGAGGCATCTTCCAGAGAGGGAAGTGACTGATTTCTGTTGGCCCACCCATGGGGGTTGTCTTAATGGCTACAAGGTCCCTGTCCCTAAGCCTGGACAGGCATGGTAGAAAATGAAAGGAGGAAAATGAATGGCAACTTAGAACAGAGGCCATCGACCTGTCTGTGCTGTGGGGCCCTTTGGCCATCCAGTGAGGCCTGCAGACCCCGTTGGAAAGTGCATGCAGCCAAGTACCTAGATGACAGTGAACGCTGATGCTGTTGAAGTGGTCAGAATCACTGCAAACAGATTTTCTGTGTGACTTTCTCATCACCACGATGTCATTAAGTGGCAATCTGCAAACCACCCAACGTTGAAGTAACGAGTAAGCATTGTATGAGTATAATAATAGTACACTTGGCTGTCTGTACCCACAGCTCTGCATCCGTGAATGCAGCCAACTGCAGATTTCAAGGACGTGGTAAAAAAGAAAATTGTGTCGACACTTAACCTGTGCACTTGCTTTCTTGTCATCACTTCCTGTGTCCATCAAGCTAATAACTATTTACGTGGCATCTACATTGTATTTGGTATTATGAAAAACATAAGAATGATTTAAAGTATACAGGAAAATGTCCATCGGTTAATGCAGGTACCATTTTATATGAAAGACTGGTACATCTGCAGATTTTGGGATCCCTGGAGGATCCTGCCAGGAATTCGTTGCAGATACTGAGGATAACTGTGTAATGTGTTGTCTCTGCTGAGGGCCAAGGTTCTACTAATGCTAGGCGTGGTTTGTCAACATGTGTTCTTACCTGTAGTAAGTGCTAAATTCGTGTTGGCTTCATACCCTTTGAGATGCAGCTTTTCCCCCTCTGAGGTTACAGGCTGTATTTTTAAAAACATCTTATTGAAATATAGTATACATGCCAAGAAATGCCCATAAGTGTATGGATAAATGAGTGTTTGCTCCTCTGCCCACACTCATAACCAGCAACCAAATTAGGAACAGCAGATTACTAGTACTCCAAGAGTCTTCACTATCCACTCCCTGTTTCTTTTTTAATTTTTGACATGGAAAAGATGAGTTTGTTGTCTTTTACATGGTTTGCTTCAGTGAAGTAATAACACACCCCCATGTGAAACCAACACTGAAGTCGGGGCTGGTGGCGCTGTCCCATACCTGCAGCACTGGGAATGCCACCGTGCTGAACTGGTTTTCTTTCTCTGTTCTTTAGCCCTGCATGAATTCCCCAATGACATCTTCACCAATGAGGACAGAAGACAGGGAGCTGTGGTCCTGCACGTGCTCTGTGTAAGTATCATTCTCGGGCCTCTGCCTGGAGGGGCAAAGGGCAGGAGGTGGCTGGGCAAAGGTGGCTGTGGAGGACTATCCCCTCCTTCCTGTCCTCAAGCCTGGGGAGGGGTCTCTGAGCCCCAAATGCAGTGATCCCCAATTGGCCCATCTTTTATAGACTACAGGTTCCTAAGCTGGAAGACATCTGTGTATATTGTTCCTATTGTGTTAGTGCCCAGGTGTGGGCTCTGAAAACAGTCTTGTGTCCACTATTTATAGCTTGACTGTCTCTCTCTCCTCAAACCCTACCCCAGGGAGGAACCTCTTCCTGCGCAGCCTCTGTAGCACGCCATGGTTCTCCCTCTTATCCTGCCCCATTGCGCCGCCTGCTATTGTATACATCATTTGCTTACTTTCTGTTGTGATCACATGGAAGCCCTGTGAGGACAAGGACGTGGCTGCTTTCCCAGCCCCATGGTTGGCACATGGTGGACACAAGCCCTTGCTACACCAGCGGATTAAATGTAATGGAAGCAGGCACAGTGTCTGGCTCAGAGTGGTGACTGAGAAAAGCTTGTTTCCTTCCCTCTGGCCTCTGTTGTCCAGCCTTGTCCTGCCATCTCCCTCTGCAGAGCCAGCAGTTCTAGCTCTCTGAGTCCCCTTGTGGCCCCTGGGAGAATCCGGGGGAAGGTGCGTGGGTGGAGTATGTCCAAAAGGCAGCTGCAGAGCCAGAAAGATCCAGGGCAACTTCTGCACGGAGCACCACCACCTTCCAGTCCATTTCATTCTGGTTATTTATTGCAGCAAAGCAAACTGCCTGAATTTAGTGATATACCCAGCTGCCAGTCACTGTCTGGATTCTCTGGGTCACTCTTTCAGAAAGGACACAGTGGGGATGCTGTTCCTCTAATGAGACAACTCCAATGGTTGGTGGTCAAATGGATGTTGGAGCCTAGAGCCACCAGTACTGGGGGTGGAGGGGTGGGCTCCTAAAAGGGTTTCTGCTCTCCCATGTCTGGTGCCTGGACTCTGGTGGCTTAAAGACTGGCTCAGCTGTGACCCTCAACCACATGGCCTCTCTGTCGTGGTAGCCTTGGGGAATGGAATGTCCACAGGGCAGCCTGGGGCCCAGAGAGAGAGGGTTACAAGGGTCAAGCAAGGCCTTTGGTGGTTTGTCCCTGCGAGTCACACAGTTCAATTTCTCCATACATTAGTGCAGTCACAAGCCCATTCCGGGCCAAGGGAGCTTACACTGGATTCCTGGAGACAAGGCATGGAGTCCGCCCTGGAGTCAGCCCAGACATGGCTTGGAGCCCACAGCGGTCAGCTGGCCTTGCCTTAAATGTGGCTTCTGTCAAGAGAGTCAGCCTCTCTGGACCCTTGAGCTACCCTGAGCTTGTCTCTCCTGCCTGTGAAAACAGCCCACTCCTCAACTCTTCCCCACCCCCACGCCCCAGCTCACATGTGAGCAATGCCTTTGCAGCAAAGACATTCTGCACGCACCAGCCGCTGCCCAATAAGAAGCTGCTGTCCTCCCAGTGCTCCCTGCACTTGGGGTGGGTTGTCACTGAGCAGCTAACACAGTTGTCACCTTCGGCACCAGAGAGGCTCCGCTGTCTCACGGCTGAGGAGTGCCAGGCACTGGGCGGGATCCAGAACCCTCCAGGAGCCAAGAGCAGTCGGATGCCTCCTTGACAGCTGAGATATGAGATTTCCACTCTTGGCCCAAACAGGGCGAGCATTGGTTCTCCCAGAGTGGCGGGGCTGGCTGCCTACAGCTGCCAAGGCCTGGTAAGGCCTCTGCTGTCTGGAGTGGGGCATTTCCAGGTTGGCACAAAGGCCAAGTGGACAGAGCAGATGATACCATTAGAGCCTTCCTTCAGAGAGTGGATGTCAACCTGTAGCTCAGCACTTTGTCCACAGGGGCTATCTAATGTTACCACTGATCCCTCAAGGAGTACACAGTCCTAGGTCCATGGCCATAACTTCAGGATCACAGTCCAGGCACATGGAACCCTAGAATTCTCCACCCACGTGGCCCTGTGCCTGAAGTTCTCTTCTCTGAGTATGTCTCTTTGAGGGAAGACCCTATGTAGGGGAAGCTTGATTCCACATGCAGGTAGAGCCAGGTGGGCAGAGCAGAGGGCACTTCATCGGCACAGCAGAGACGGATGGTAGGGTGGGTCTGCTAGAGCTGTCTCCAAGGTCAAGAACCGAATCTCACATGATCCTACCCACTAGAACATTAAGGTTCCCCACGGGACATAAGCCTCATGAGAAGAGCCCCTGTACTCCCTCTCTGGCACCACTGAACTTCAGAAGTTGCACAGCCTGCAGTCTGTGCAAGAATGAGCTGATATTTCTTGGCCCATCAGCTTGTGTGACCCAGCACACTTAGGATGCTCAGGAATTGCTCGTGGCCATCAGCTGGTGTAAGGGGAATGGCTGCAATGGCAAACATTTGGCATTTTAGTGGCCAGCAGGAAACAGATGGATGCATGGGTCAAAGCTGCAGGAAGCTAAACACAGACACCCTGCCTGCGGACAGCTCGGAAGCATGGGCTGGGCGCTCCCAGGTATGCAATGTGCAGGTCACTCTGAGGGAAGCCACTGTCTTGTAAGGAGACCCCCTCAGGGTCAGTATGCACCGTGCACTAAATGCTGAGCACAGCCCACACTGCCCGCTGTGGGGGCTCCGAGGAGACACAGCCAGGTGTCACAGGGGTGAGGTGATGCTGTTCTGGAAGGGGAGGTGGGAAGTTTCCAAAGGAGAGTGGGGAAAAGTGGGAAACTCCAGGCAGGAATGGGAAACCCCATGGTTAAAGATACAGACGTGAGAGTGAGTGCGGGCTATTTGGAGGCAGTGAAAACAGGGCATGGGTGGGGAGGTATCAGATTCACGTGGACCTCACAAGGGGGCTTGGCGGCCACGTGGGAAGTGGGAGGAGGTGGATCCCCAACTCTGCCGCCCTCGGCCAATCCCTGCAAACCTGGGGTTAGGGCTGAACAAGGTGGAAGCGTGGCCAGAGGTGACCACAGTGGACTGAGTTGAGAAAGGCCTGGGTAGGCCCCAGAAAACGGCTTGAGGCCTTTCGGGCAGGAGCTCCCAGAGTCCTGGGGACCCTGAGGGGCACCCTGGGGCTGGAGAGGATCCATGCAGAAGTGAACCTGGGGACTGAGCATCACCCAGCCACCTCCAGGTCCCTGGCAGGACAGGGACAGTCTTCACCGTAGGATCCCAGCTGTGTCTTGTTACCCCACCCCCACCCCCTGCTGCCCTGGAAGAAGGTCACGGGGTTGGTCTTTCATGGGGTTAATTGACCATGATCATAAAGGTGGAGCACAGTGCCAAGTCCCTTCCCTGCTCTGAAACCTGAGCAAACTCAGCACTCACGTCTAAACTCTGACTTCCCCACTCTGCGTGAGCCCAGTGTGTTTGCTTGTAGAGCTAGCAGCCTTCGGCCTGAGTCTGGTGCAGGTCTGGGGACACAGTCTTAGATCTCAAATGTCAAAGCTCCCTGCTCCGTTTCTCTTCTTTCATGTAAATGTTCCTCTCTTTTGTGTGTGCTTTGTGGGACTCTGACAACCATTTCTGGCTCAACCTTTCAAACACGATAGCTTTAATTCCTCCCTTGGATCTTTGAGCTTGTGTGCATTGCAGAAACCATAAACCCTGAGATTGCATTTCTGTTTTACATAAGGTTTCTCTTCCTTGTGACTGTTGTTCTTCATGTTCGGGTTCCTCACTAGTGGAGAAAATCCATGATCTTTTTTTTTTAAGATTTTATTTATTTGAGAGGTAGAATTACAGACAAGGAAAGAGACAGGGGAAAAGGTCTTCCATCCACTAGTTCACTCCCCAGAGGGCTGCAGCGATCTGAAACCAGGAGCCAGGAGCTTCTTCTGGATCTCCCACATGGGTGCAGGGGCCCAAGCACTTGGGCCATCTTCCACTGCTTTCCCAGACCTTGGAAGAGAGCTGGATTGGAAGTGGAGCACCTAGGACATGAACCAGCGCCCATATGGGATGCTGACACTACAGGCAAAAACTTAGCCTACTACACCACAGTGCTGGCCCCTGAAATCCATGATCTTGACATGATCTTGACATCACAACGGATGACCTTCAGAAAACACCTGTCTGAGAACCTGTGTTATACTTGGTCTGTTGTATGGCAGGATTTCCTGTCTGTGAGGAAGTCTGCACCCTATAAACTCATCAACTTGGCCCCCAAAGGGGGAGGGAGGAAGAAGAAGCCTGTGAATAATTACAGACATCTTGTACAATTTTGTGTGCAATCCTGTATTGCATGGAGGACTGGGTCTTTGGGATTATCAGCCAAACCACACATTTTCTCTTGTGACAAAAGATTTAGGAGCCAGCTCCATTGCGCAGTATGCTCGTCCTCTGCCTGCGGCACCAGCATCCCATATGGGCAACGGTTCTAGTCCTGGCTGCTCCACTTCCAGTCCAGCTCTCTGCTATGGCCTGGGAAAGTGGTGGAGGATGACCTGGGTCCTTGGGCCCCTGCACCCACATGGGAGACCGGGAGGAAACTCCTGGCTCCTGGCTTCGGATTGGCGCAGCTCCAGCTGTTGCAGCCATTTGGGGAGTGAACCAACGGAAGGAAGATCTTTCTGTCTCTCCCTCTCATTGTCTGTAACTCTACCTCTCAAATAAAATCTTTAAAAACAAAATAAAGATTTAAATAATCAGTAGTTGGAATTCCTTCTCAAAGTGGGTGTGAGCAGCTGTGTGTCCTTAGTAGGTCAAACTCTGCAGCAGGAGTAAGCAGCCTCTCTCCACCTCTCCAGATTCTTCCAAAGGTTCTAAGCCTTCTTTTCCCAGTTGCACATAATCTCTGTCTTCCAGCAGACAGGCAACTGTACATGCCTGTGTGGAAGATGGGAGAAGCAGCTGGAAATGGCTCTCTAGCCCTTACTAAGGCTAATCCTTGTTAAGTGAGTCTCTCTGGGCGAAGAACTGCTAACTAGTCCAGTGACCCACACCTGTCAGA